AAATTGTATGCTGTTCTAATAAATCTTTCATGATGTCTATAGAACCTATCTCATTATACAAATTACATATGCAGATGTTTAATATAACATGTATTTCTCAGTCTGACAATGCTAGGTGTATTTGTATTCCATCTGAATAATAATGATCTTACTTGTTACAAAATATGTAAATATTTTGGTCAAGACTGTAAAGTGATGCAAGGAACCATTGCTGTTGGTCAGATCTAATAATTCATTGCATCTTTACATATGTTACTGAACACGACAGCTACGCTGTTTTGAAGTGTGTACAAGGATATTTTATTTAAAGTACACGTAATAACTTCATTTGTGAAATGAAATGTATTGCAAGAAATATGATCTCCATGTTAAATTATGCTCTGATTAGAAGTCAATTACTTTTCACAGATAGAAAAGTTTCATATACTCTACTCTATTGTGTAAAGTGTAATTCACTCATAAAACTTCGTGTGTTGACTAAAGAAAAAGGTTAACACGAGGCTAAAACTTTCCTGAACGTTCATCTTGTATGCAAGACTCACAGATCTTTACGGTCGTGTCTCAAATTACATCCACACCGTCAAGCTGTGAGTACCATAACTTCAATAACCAAAGAAAACTAGTTTAGTGGATCTGTAACAAAAGCTTGACATGATTTTCAGTTCCACCGTATTTGTTTGCAACTTCGCTCCTTCCTTGAGAAAGATAAATATTCATTCAAAAAATATGTCTGTACGTTGTGTGTGAGAGAGAGATTTACTTTATTGTATCTATGTGTATACTATCGTACATAGCAGATAACCTTTTTAGAAGAAATATAAGAAATCATATGAATAAAATACGAACGTTTTTAAATTTACTGAATGTTTAGTGAGAATACACATTTATCTTCACAGAAAAGATTTTGTTTCTAGCAAAGTCACACAGAGGTTTATCTGTGCCCTGCCCACCGCGGGTATCGAAACCCGGTTTCTAGCGTTGTAAGTCTGCAGACATATCCCTGTGCCACTGGAGGACAACAAAAAAAGATACTGGACAGTTAATGGACCCTATACTATATATATATATATATGCATATAGAAAAACTCTTGTAATAAACCTATTTGCGCATTTTTTATTATAATAAGTGTTATCATTGAGTTAACTGCTCTTGTTAGTTGATGACAATGTCTTCATTGTTATTGCTCTAAATGATTATATGTCGTTTTCAACTATATTCTTATCATAAATAGTATACTTTTTATAGATTAGACTCTATGTATTAATATACATCTTCCTAACGGTTCTGATTTGAGTAGGTAAGTTAGTTACTGATGCTTTGCCAGTGGTTACCAATTGGCATCTTATTAAAATATTGGCGAGCAGAGTTCAAACATTTTTTAGTTATTTATAAAAATCAAGATACATACGAGTTTTATGCTTTATTTTTATAAAAAAAGAAAAGTTTTATTATTAAAAAAACAAACGTTTCAGTAAGCAACGTAGAAAAACTATCAGATCAAAACATTAAAAACTTATCCAGTTTTAAAATATTTTGGTACGTACAGTTTAATAACGAACTCGTGAAATAATATCCATTATATCTTTTCTTAACGGGGTATAACTTTCTAAGTATATTTTACATCACATGTGTCTCATTAAGAGTGTCTAAAGCAATTTTACTTCATTTATTCCTTGTATTCATATCATTTTAATTTTTTATTTTATCTTTCACTTCAGATATTTGATAGCTACTATTTGTTTCACATAGCAACAAAAACCCTTACCCCCCCCTCCCCTGTGGCACAGCTGTACATCTGGAGACTTACAATGCCAGAAATCTGGTTTCGATACCCGTAGTGGGCAGAGCACAAACAGCCCATTGTATACAAACAAACAAAAAACGCTTAGCTGATTTAATATATCTATGAAATATGTAAAACTTTTCAAGTGTTATAAACTTAGATAAAAGTTTAATAAGGATAGGATTATTACTCACAAGATTAACATTATTACAGTTAGGTCTGAATAATTTTCAAATAAAAAAGTTTAATCTTAAACCAATACGAATTAAATTTGCCCTCCAAGGGACACTGTTTAAGCACTGCATGTAGATTTGTTTGTTTGTTCCTTCTTTTAGAGCAAAGCCACTTTGAGCTATCTGCTCTGTCCAACGTGGGGAATCAAACCCCGGATTTTAGCGTTGTGAGTCCTTAAACTTATCACTGTCCCAACAAGGAACCTGCATATAGAAAGAGCCGTTTCTAATCTGTTCCTCAACCGGATTCGGAGTCATATGTTATTGGAATATTAAAAATTTATTTTTGAATTAATTAAACAAACAATAATGCAAAACGGACAAAAAAATTATAATATACCGTGCAAGTCTTTAAAATTAATATAACTTTATTTCAAATACTGGGTCTCATCAAGGTGAAAAAAATCTCAAAGCAAATAGCCAATAAAAAGTGGCGTTGACTGAAGAATGGAGAAGGCAAATTATTTCAACGTGTGTGACATTTGTCATGATTTCTTATCTCTCTTTCATATCTTTATTCAGATGATTGACTTTCCAACTTACTCTTTCTTATATATTCTTGGCATCGTGCATATTTTTCTAAAAAGAAAGTAATTAAACACGAAATTTAAATCTGTCGACCCAATACGTAGCGTAGTTTAATATCTTTTTTTGTCCGTTGTTAAGCACAAAGCTACACGATGGACTATCAGTGCTTTGCCCATCGCATGTACCGAAACCCGATTTTTAGCGTTCTAAGCCCTCAGACTTACCGCTGAGCCACCGGAGGGAGATTTAGATCAGAGATAGTCAGTCGTCTTAAAATCAGCATATCTTGGCCCCCAGTGGCACAGCCGTATGTCTGCAGACTTACAACGATATAATCCGGGTTTCGATACCCGTGGTGGGCAGAGCATAGATAGCCCATTGTGTTGCTTTGAGCTTAACTTTAAACAAGCAGTATATTTTATAGGTATAAAAAGAAAATCTAATGGTTCAAACAAATTATCTTGCCTCATTCATGTTCATTCATACTATTTTTTGACAATGAAGGATATAAAGAAAGGGATAACAGTAACTAAAGTTAACGACATAGTTAATAAACGCGTAACATTCTTAAGAAATTCACATCAAACAACAATGAACATGTTATAAGAAGCTACTTAACATTTAAATTATTTACAAATTAGATATGTCTTAACTACCGCTAATAAAAACAGCTAAAAATTGTATTTTTACTTGTAAAAATTTTATATTACAACTTTATGTAAAAAACAGCAACTAGAGTTTAATTTGAAATCATTAAAACATTCTGGTAACGAGGTGTATATACACTTTAAAACCAATTTAGAAATTATCATTAAAGTTTTGTCAGTCTTTGATGTACATTCTGTTAAGTCTTTCAATGTGATACCTAAATCATTTTGAATTTCCAAATTACATAAAAATCCCATACAGGTTTATTTCTAGCTAACAAAACTACGTCTAGGATTTGTCAATTATATTATGTAGGAGTCTGTAATACCTTAAAGAACATTTAAAGATGTATACTGTAAGTTTTCAAAGAGAGAACCGGCATTAATCCGTTCATTGTTATAGGAAATTCCATAGGATATAAAGAGAAAATTAAAGGACTTTGAAGATAAAAAACATTTGATTTCAGTAATCATTACATTAGTCTTTCCATTGATAAAATTAAAAAGTCTTTCCTCAACAATTTCAAGGTGTGTTAATAATTATGGTAAATTACTATTCTGTGTCAGCAAATACAAAAATCACTGTTTCACATTAAACTAATTCTTCCAATTTTATTGTTGTTTACCTGATAATACATCAGTAAAATTTGGCCGATATGTCTGCCAATATACATAAATGGTATTCCAGTGGGGGGTAACTTGAAGCACATAAGTTGCAAATCTCTAAATATTCGGATTAGAATATTCAAACATTAGAAAGAAAGACTATATTAAAGTTTGAATATCGGTCGCGCTTGTGGATATATATATGATATTCTTATACAGATTTATCAAGGTTTTCTAAAAAACAGCCGAACAAATGTATAAAACAGAGCTAACAACAAAGTACAATATGTGAATTAAGATAACGGCATCATTAAGTTAACATTCAATTTTAAAGTTTTTAACAAAATGGACACTCAATTCTGAAGTTATAAACTTTCTGTGTCCGAGTATGACAATTGCAAATAAGCCATGTTACAATGTTCACTGCACATAGCTTATTAAATACAGCAGAATTTACTCAACATCACAAGCTCACTCTCATTTTTCACAAACGAGGTTTTTCACTGTGCGTGTTAAACACAAAATTATTTCAATTCTCCGAGAAATTCAATAATTTTCTTGATAAGGATAATAGAATTAGAAGTTTTACAGAATATCAGATCTTTTATAAACTTTCAAATCTACACTTGTTAGTCTCATTTTCTATTATTATGTTTCTATTACATATATTTTACATTATTAGCTTAATATATGTATTTAGGACTAACCTAAATCTCCTAAACTGACCAACTTTATGAGATATTATTAGGATTACGACCGAAAAGGTCGTTCACAGCGAGGATACGCAACTAATGAAGCAATGCATTTTAATTTTTATAAGTAAGAGCATAAGAAAAGTATATTTAATTAGCTATACTTATTGCCAGGTTGATTTTTAGTTTCTCTCGAAGTATTTAGCTTGATCTGATCAAAAGTCAATGTTAATTAAGAAGTTTGGTAAAATTATAGCTTTAAATCAGAAAAAGATGTTTTATATATGATCCTGAATATAAGAACGTTTGGAATGTTTCGTAAAGTTTTAAATATAAATTAATTTGGAAAGCGTTTTACGAGTTAATCTAGAAGTAAGTTTGATAAATATTATAAAACATTAATAAAAGTAAACAAGATTTATTCAGTGTTGTACATTTCTAACTATAAAAAAAAGAAATTATTAAAAGTTATAAAATCCTAAATATCAAATAAGTCATTTGTAATATTCTATGTATGTAGTTAGTAATAGAACATGTAATTAATATTATACACTAATTGGCCATTTTATTATGAACCCTACCTAATAGTTCTCAATAATATCGGGTTGGCCTGCCTTTCATTGTGACAAGTTTTGAATTGACGTCTTATAGTCTCCACGGGATGAAGGAAAATCTGCAACTTGTTCACAAATGTCTGCAAAAGATTAAAGTGTCAGATTCAACGTTCAAGTTCATCCAAACGATGTTCAGTAATATTGAGATCCGATTATTGTGTTAGCCAAGGAAGTTGACTGAAGCTACTATCGTCTTCTTTGTAACTATTTCAGACAGTACAAACACAGTAGATGTTTGCTTTATCGTCTTGAAAGAGCCCCTACCCATCAGGGTAAACATACAATATTGTGGGGTGGGCATGACTGGCAATAACATTCAGGTACACTCTGGATATTATTGCTTTTATAAAGGAATAAAAAAAACTCACCTCCTAGAAAGAAAACGTCCCTCACCCAATGTCAGAACAACACAAACAGGGTTAAGTGTCTTTTGTCCAATTTTCCATTTTCTTTGTCTACTGTAAACAGAGAAAAAGGTGAAATGCTTCTGAACCACATCACATACTTTCAGTTATTAATTGTCCACATACTTTATTTTAATTTCCACTGAAACCGCAATTCTACTTTACTTTTGCCATTTATGATAAACTCTGTTGACAGATGGGTTTGAATAAACTATCAAAAACGTCTGTATGTTTGTGCTGTTATCTGACAGGACAAGTGTAATGGAATAACGGGGGATATCTTGGGATAGATTACTCCTGAGTACTACGTATTTCTAACGCAAGGCATTTTTACTGACTGTGATGTCACATGAAACGTGTATGGTGTAGCGTAAGTTAGTTAGTTAAATCACTCACACTGTACTGGAAAATACAGGCTTGTCCCCATGTTTTCTTATTATACGTGAGAATTATTATTCTATGCTGAAATACATGCAATGAATATCAACTTATCACCTTTTCAGACCCATTATTATTTTTACTTTTTTCCGAGACTAACTATTTTGAATAATTTCAAGTAGTAAAACATTCTTCGTACTTGTTCGTCATAAATATAAATAAGTGAATCATACACAGTTTTGTTTTAGTTACTTTATAAAGTGGGTGAGATCAAAGAAAACTCAAAATACACCATTCAGTATAGATTTTATACGTTGATCATATAATATATTAAAATGAAACACACCTGCATGCGTTTCACTTCTTCATCATACTATTGGTTACATTCTAACATGAGTATATGACGCCAAATTTTAAATAAATGTGACACAGTTGGATGGAAAACAATACGCTTGCTTGTGATTAGATATGAAAATTTAAACTTGTATATACAGACTGCTCCAAAGAATGGGCCCGGCATGGCCAGGTGGTTAGGGCACTCGACTCGCAGTCTGAGGGTCGCGCGTTCGAATCCCCGTCACACCAAACATGCTCGCCCTTTCAGCCGTGGGGGTGTTATAATGTGACGGTCAATCCCACTATTCTTTGGTAAAAGAGTAGCCCAAGAGTTGGCGGTGGGTTGTGATGACTAGCTGCCTTCCCTATAGTCTTACACTGCTAAATTAGGGACGGCTAGCGCAGATAGCCCTCGTGTAGCTTTGCGCGAAATTCAAAACAAACAAGCTCCAAAGAAGTGAAAGTTTAAGTAGAATTTCATGTTAATGACTTTATTTAAAAAATGCAAGAAAACGTAAATGACAAATGAAAAAAATTCATACAAGGCAAAAATGAAAAATAGGTAAAAGTCGAAAATTATGTGTTATGGATTATATGGATCGATTTTGGTCACAATAATTGTTCAAAGTAAATTTGTAAATACTCTTTAAGCTATTTTCCTTGTAAAACGTTTTAAGAAGGTAAGCCTTTAAGAATGTCGAGCGTATATGTCAACACACTACTTGCATTAACATAAATCACGAACACCTCGAGACCTTAACCAATAAAAAGACTTTCTCGAGTTAATTTTCTACATTTGCTACTGTTTATGAAAATAGCTATATAGATGTCGAGTACGCTATATTAAAACGATTTTGGAGACTCACCACGTCGTTACAGTCTACGCTGATACATCTGATTGTTCTCTATCTGACAACCGTGCATCTTCGAAAACAGTCCTACAGCGTAGATTTTATTCAAAAGCTCCATGTAAGGCTGTACTGTCCAAAGGACGCCACTTATACCTGCATGCTTTCAATAATCATCTAGTTTACCAAGATGGCGGTTTACCATCGCCTGTTCCAAGAGTCTGATCAAACAGAAACCCATAGGCACTGTGTCTGGCGACTTGGCAGTATGTCTTCGTATAGAATAGCATGAATACCCGTTTCATTTTCCATCTGCTTGAGAGGCATGCGATGGTTGAGCCCATACATTGTTGCCCTCGTTTCCAAGCGGAAATCCTTCTTGATTATGTTGCGTAATAATTCCCTTTCAGCAGTGGGGGCGTTGTATTGTGACAGAGTAGTCCAAGAATTGGCAGTGGAAGATGCTGACAGCAGTAAGTCTGCGGACTTATAATGCTAAAAACCGGCTTTCGATACCCGTGGGCACACCACCTCAGATAACCCATTGTGTTGCTTTGTGCTTAACTACAAACAAACAAACTATCATTTCTAAAGTAGGGAGGTCTAGCGCAGAGTAGCTTTGCACGAAATTCAACAATCAGGGTATTCAACAACCAAACATTAATTACTTCCTACCACTGTTGACGTACTCGCAATACTGAAGGTAGTTAAAGTATAATAAACCTTTGAAAATGTTGTTAAAGTGGAAAGAACACTGAATCACTTATAAGTACTGAAATATTAAACCCTTATAATGTAATCGTTAAAGAAGAATGTAATCGTTAATTGCTAAAAACTGAATTGTATGATGTTTCAGAATTTCAAACCGTTGGAATAGCTTTCAGAATATAACAAACATTTTATTTATGGAAGTTTACATTGATGATAAAATCGAGTCACTGGAACTCTAAGAACTTGTTATCAAAATGCTGTGATCTATAAATAAGAGTTTCCAATGAAATCTAGAACTAATTATTGAAACTTCTAAGTAAAATTGAAATACATTTAAGTGACATTATGATGTTGACAAACTAAACGAAGTGTCTCAAGACAATTAAGTCCCTGATGGGGTCAGGGATAGTTAAAATGTTGTGGTTGTTATTCAAAAAAATGCTTTCTGATGGACAAAACTCATAAACAATTTTGTGTTTTAGTACTGCTTTGAAATAAATATTAACAAATAGGACTACCAAATTAACTGCCTGGAAAGTAGTTGTGAACTTATAACGCTCTAAATCTGGTTTCGATACACGTGGTGAGCACAACATAGACAGCCCATTGTGTAGCTTGGTTCCTAACTACAAACAAACAAATTAAATTAAATAACTTGCTAGAGATTTATAGTTTTCAAATTAGCAACAATAAAACATTAATTTACCGAAAACTGATATGCTCTAACTTGTATTTTTACAAAATTTTCCGAATATTTCGCGAATTTACTGGCATACTTGTACGCAATATGAAAACGTTAAAATTGAAAAAAAAGAAATAAGTAGAAATCAAAGCCACTTGTTAAGTTATTTGTAAATTTTTGCAACTCTAAATTATATTTCATATTGTAATGTTTAAACTATTTTAATAGTCAAAATTTGTTTCGTAATTTCGGTGTGTCACCAGTTGGGTCTTTTTTGTTACGGCTGTTAAAAAAAGTATTTCTACATTTGAAAAAGGAAAATAAAACATCAAAATAAGCATGTCCAGAAAAAAATCACTTCTTACACGAAAATCCAATACTTAAAACTTTTTTTTTGTATTGCAAAAACGTAATTTTTATGTAGTGAAACTTATACAGGGTAGTAGTTATTTAGGAAACAAGTTTATGAGTTGGCTTTGATGAAGAATTTCATTTGTAAAGACACGTTCGTTGATGGGAGTAATGAGAAATTCGCTGCATGATCACGTCTGAATTTTAATAGTTATTAAAAATATATCAGAAATTCTATGTAAGTAGCCTACAATCGACCACTGGTGATTTATTTTAAAAAAGGAAAAAAGAATGACATTACTTCGAGATTCCTGGATACTATGAACAGAAACTATAAAGTTTCTATTAAATCATGGCAGTCGATAAAAAAAGTCAATATCGAAATGCCTAAAATATAACCGTGACTGTTTTAATATGAGCTGTGGCTCATACAGTAGTGTTGTTAATGGTCTTATTTCTTGCTGGCTTAATGGCTAAAAACGCTACAACTTCTATATGAGTACATTGGTTTATATAAAAAAAGTATCCATTTTTAAGTTATACGACCAATTTGTTATTGAATACCTGCCAAAAAAGAAAACAGATGACTGACAGTATGTTTCCTTAAGGTGATATGAACATGAGACTCCAACTATCTACAATTTTTCCTGCTTCAGAACGTCACCAGTTTCCTCGAACTTATATGAATCTGAGATTCCTGTTAAACATGGTTTTTCTGCTTGATACGACACAGTTTCCTTGAGCTGATATGGATCTGAGGCTCCTACTACTCATGGTTTTCCTACTGATACGTCACCATTCTCCTCGAGCTGATATGGACCTGAGGCTCCACTATCCATTTTCTTCCTGCTTCAATACGTTACCATTCTCCTCAAACTGATATAACTCTGATATAGCCTCCTACTACTTATAGCTTTCCTTTTTAACAATTCACCATTTTTCTCAAAATGATATGACGCTGAGGCTCATACTACCCATAATTTTTTCTAGTTCCATATCTCACTAGTTTTCGTAGTTGTTTTTGAAATTACTAGATTCTCACTATCCATTATCTGAACTAAACTCAGTCCTCGTCGACCTTCTTTAAGCAAGTTAAAGCCATTTCTGGAGAGACTTTACTAGTCACACATAGCTTGCACAATCATTAAACTGTAATATGATAATGTATTCTTGAAAATGTCTCTAGCAGAATTACCTTCTAAAACCTCTTCTTGTATTTTTAAACTTTAACGTAGATTTCCTTCGTTGATTGCATGGACCATTTCATCTATGTACCTTCTGTCACCTTTCCCACATTACAGGATTTAATTTTTATCTCAAAACCTGTGTGTGTGTGTGTGTGTGTCTGATTTTCAGTCGTTTTAATTTTCATTTAATTTATTTCTGATGACCTCAAACGTAACGTGCACGTTTCCAGTTCACGCTCATACCTATGATACAACCATTCAAACCAGTTTTCTGACATTCATCTGATGCAGCCATCCAAGTTGATCTTCTATCTACTGATAAGTCAAACTTTTATGGCAAGTAACCTCTAGTTAGCCTGACTTCACATTCGACTGGCTTGAGAATACCCAATTCTCACCTATTCATACTTTAATAAAACGTTCAGTGAAATTGCAAACCATTCTACATAAATTAATCAGTTTCGATTACCTTCTGCGTTTTCTTGGCAACTTCTTCGAGCACCACTTTGTGTCTGAAGCTGTTTTCTTCTTTCTTTATTAACCCTTTCTAAGAAAAT